AGAGAGAGAGAAACAGACAGACAGACAGAGAATGAGAGAGAGAGAAAGAGAGAGAGAGAGAGAGAGAGAGAAAGAGAAAGAGAGACAGACAGACAGACAGACAGACAGAGAAAGAGAGAGAGAGAGAGAGAGAGAGAGAGAGAGAGAGAGAGAGAGAACGACAGAGCTGGAGAAGGAGAAAGACAGCTATAATACAAGTGTTATGCCTCCTACCTTTCGTCGATGTTTAGGTATGCAGATCATTTGTTTCTTTCATAACTAACGAAAAAGTGCTCCTGCATACCCCTCTTGTCGCGCTAGGTACGAAAAAGATAGTGTTGCTTCCCCAGTTTAAGGACAGTCTTATTATACTCAGTGCACAATGGCAATCGAAGTCAGTCGAATTGAATCGGGGCCAGACAGATTTTGGCACAATGATTACATTCTATAAAATCAAACTTGGTTTTTTTATTGGAAGATTTGATATACGTGTTCAAAAATAGGTGTATGTTCTCGTCTATGCAAGAAAATCCTGGCTAACCCCAACTGTATCAGACAAATCAAATGTATGAAATGGGCACTGTGCACAAGATATAAGTCTATAAAATGCGCGCACTGTGACGTGTGGTCGAGTTTGTAGCGCGGGAAATTGTCCGCGGGTCAGGTGAAAACCGAGAAAAAGCGGGGGAACCGGAGAGGTAGTAGCGAGAACGAACTGTGTAAAATTGTATGCCAGAGACATAGATCAATCCAAAGCGATGGTGATGAAGGGAGGAGCAATGTTCGCGAGTTGGACTCAGAGCAGCAACAACAACGTTGTGTTGTTGTCGTTGTTGTTGATGTTGGTGGTTCTGTTCGGAGATCTGGATGTTGCGAATGGGAAGTTGAGGCATCATATGAACTACTATGATATTGAAGGTGAGTGGAACATACATAATGGTTTTTATGTCATGAGCAGTATTTACTTGTAGTCCGGCTTTGTTTTCATTTTTTCTTTTGTTTCGGTTTGGGTTTGGTTTTTAATTTGTCTAAAATGGCACTTGCAATACAAATAGAGCATATAAGTTTCGAAGATTTGAAGTTTAATTTGAGACGAACGTACAAAGACACGAAGGAGGAGAGATAATTAAAATAGATGTTTAAAATAAAAGTAGAAGCAAAATATAACAAAAGAGCACCCGTCAATCATCCACTTAATGCTACATGTTTGTCCGATTTTGATGTAAACTGGTAAGCATTTAAAAGTAGATATCTTATTCAGGGTTTAAATTACATAAAGTATACAGGTCTTTGGATTACTAGATAGTCATGTGAAACCAGCATGAATCATAAATGTCACACATATCAATAACATTTTAAAAACGTTCTGTGCTGTCAGATAAATTGTACATAATCAATGGTTTAGGTTTTAAATTAAATCCCTTTGATATCACCGAAGTTCAGTCGCAACAATTGGATTATTTTAAACTAAATCCGAAATCTCTCTAAGTGGAGACATTCTGGGGTTTTACTTTTAAAAGACAGTCAATTCCAGCGGATAGTTTAAAACACAACGAGCATTTCTGAATTATTCTGGTTTTGATATCTTAATAAGAAAGGCAGGGAAAATGTTTCGAAAATATTCAAAATGACTGACAATTGTGAGGCAAAGACGTGTTGTTCTTGTTTTTGTTGGGTTTTTTTTCCTGTTTTGTATGTGTGTGTGGGGG